CGTCTTTCTTCTTCAGTAGGATCACTGGACTAGAGTAACAACTCACACTCGACTGAATGATTCTGGCCTCCAACATTTCATGTACCATCCTTTTGATCTCTGCTTTATGGGCGTAGGGGTACCGGTATGGTTTCACGCTCACCGGGTTCGCTTCCTTCTTTAGTTGGATGCGGTGGTTCGTCCATCGGTTAGGTGGAAGAGTCGTCGGTTCCTGGAATATCAACACATACTCCGTCTTGAGGCAAAAGGGGAGGCTGTACTTGGAGAGACACGGGTTGGGCTTCGTCTGTCATGAAGAGGGCTCGTAGCTCGATCCAGAACTCTTGGTCATTCTTCTCCCAAGCCTATGCTAGTTTTGTGAAGGACACTTCCTTGCACGTTAATGTGGGGTCTCCCTGTATTTTGATTTTCTATCCATCCTTCTCGAAAGTCATGGTTAATGCCGGCCAGTCGACTTGTATTCTCCCCACTCTCCTCAGCCACTGCATCCCCAGCACTACGTCGAGATCCCCTAGTTCCAGCGGTAGAAAGTCTTCCATTATAGTCATTTCAGGCAAAGCGAGGACTACCCCCTTACAGATTCCTCCTCCCCTGATCGTTGTCCTCGACCCCATGATAACCCCATAACTGGGTGTTTTGGTCCTGACCATCTGTAATTCATCCGCCAACTTTGTAGAGATAAAGTTGTGCGTCGCACCGCAATCGAAGAGAACTATGACTTCCCTTTCTTGTATCTTGCCTTTGAACTTCATTGTCCCTGGGGTTGTGAGTCCCACAATGGAGTTGAAAGCTACATATTCCACTGCCTTGCCCTTTTCCTCTTCTTTAAGCTCGTCCTCGGGAATCATCATCTCCGTGTCTTCTTCAGCATGTTCATCGTTGTGGACAACAAACACACGTAACTCGCGTTTCTTACACCTATGCCCCACAGAGTACTTCTCGTCGCACTTGAAACAGGCTCTTCTCCTTCCTCTTCTGATATTCTGCCTCAATGAGTCGTTTTTGCTGCAGCTCTGGTCTGCCAGCTGGCGCGTGTCCTTGTCCCTTCGTAGTCAAAGTAACTACTCGGGTAGGCGTCAGATTCATCCTTTTAATGGCTGATTTGCCATTTACTATCACTGAGTTAATTCATGTTCCCTTTCCAACGGACGTCTCTTCACCTTCTTGGGCAGCTTGTTCGACATCTTCCACTAATTGGGCCTTTCTAATTATTTTGTCTATTCATCAGGTTCCATGGCCAGTACTTTAGCCCGTATGACTGGTCGGAGTCCATTAAGAAACGCCCCTTCGAGGACCTCATCGGTAAGCTGAGTTAATGGCGCCACCATGGCTTCGAATTGTTCAATGTATTCTTCAACGGTCGTCTCTTGCTTGATAGCTAATAGCCTCGTGCATTGCTTCCCCCTCTTGGATCGTCGGAAATGTTCGAATATCCGTTTCTTTAAGTCATCCCAATCCGTGAATCGTTGTCGGTTGTCGTTCCATTGGAACCATGCCAGCACTATTCCCTCGAAGCTAATAACAACCACAATCAATTTCTCAGAATCACTTAGTTTATGGATCTCGAAATACCTCTCCGCTCGAAACAGCTAGGAATTCGGGTTCGGACAGTGAAGATGGCATCTCCATTTTTTTGAACTTATGTCGATCATTTCCTCGGTCAGTGGTCTCCAAGACTTGAATATCTTCTTCGATGGTTTTCCTCTTTAACGATGATCCTTCTACTGTCGTTACCCCTGTGACGGACGTTTGAGTGCCAATGACCTCGGTCATGAATCACTCCATCTTTTGTTGATGAGCTTCCATCTGCACCATGAACTTCTCCAAGACACTCTGGTTCGCCTGAACCTGACCTCTCACTCCTTCGATGGCTTCCTTCAAACCGGTTACTTCTTTCTCCGTTGTGTCGCATCGCTCCTTCAGTCGCATTTGTACCATCTTCTTCTTCTTCTTCCCCAAAATGAACGCGCTCTGATACCAAGTTGTGAGGTATCTTCCTCACTATTCTTGATATTCAAAAACAAAAGGGCTTACAGACCAGCCAATTCGAAGATTGGGTCCTCTCCTAATAGCCAACGTTATTAGTTACACCAGAAAAGCAAAAAGCTGCCCTCCCTGATCCCCAGGGGTCCCTTACATACCTTGTACTATGCCCCCCTTCCATACTACCCTATCCATACTAACTTTGAGTGACAACTTTCCAAAACACCCTCCCCATACAACTTTCTCCTCAATTTCCTTTCCTACCCCTCGTTGTATACGTGTGCACAATTGGTGGCCTAACAGTGTTGTTATGATTTCTGTTCTTTGAGCCATATTTGCTTGTGATGCTTTATTTTTTTACAACAATTGGTATCATAGCCAATTTAAGATTACTGCTAAATTCTAAGTGGAGAAGTTTAATGGGAAAGAAGAATTTTCCCTTTCTTGCTGAGACGGATGAGTTAACATTCAATCCATCGTCTCGTATCTAGTGTTGCAGTAAGTTCATGATGCCAACATCGCCCTTGAGGTATGAAATAAATTGATTCTATATACATCACTACGTTTACATTAAGGAGAAAGTAAAGACTTAGAAAAAAATCTTGATGATTTCAATAAAATAATGCTAGATCAAAGCAACATTGACGAAGAAATGTTAATGAAAATAAGGCAATAATCTTATTGAACTCCCTCCTTGATTAGGTTAAAACTGTTATAAAGTATGTAAGAGACTATAGTATGAGTCTAGACACAATTCTTGTTAGGGTTTGAAGAACTATCACAACTATACATCCACTATAAAGACAATGATTCTTTAACTTACTCAGAAATGGATACACAATACACTGTATGCTCTCTGCTCATTCTCTTTCTAATTTAACGTAGGATTTACACCATAGTAAAATTACAATAGTAGTGGCAGGACAGAGAAGAAATCTCATAGAGGAAATAGTAGATGGAGATCTAAATCTAAGAACATAGTTAAAAAACTACTAACATTGTCAAAAAGAAAGTCACATCAAAAGAAATTGCTATGAACTAAAAAAAGAAGAAGAAAAATGAGCAAAAGGAAGATGGTGACACAAATAATACAAATTGAGATTGAGGGTGGAAAAGTGGTTYTTGGAAACCACTATGAATGTTGCATCACCAGCTGGGAACACCAAGAAGAATTGGGTGAAATAAGTCTGTGAAGAACTTAAATTACTGAGGGAGTTGCCTCGGTCAGTACTATGTACACAATGGTGGAAGTCACCGAACAAAGAGTTGGAAGAAGATGATAATGGCCAAGTAGCCGAGCTTTGGGACGAATACAGGCCTCCTAAGCTCACGGTTTCGGTCAAACCGCGGCCCAGCCACCCCCTCGAGCAGTTCCACCAGTTGCCACAACGAGTAGGACACGATCACCCAACACGGCAAAAGTGCTACGACCACGCCCGCGCAGACCATGGGCTAACATTCTGAAAAGTGGAGTGGCATCGTTGGACTGCCCTGAATGCGGTGATGAGCAGCCAGTTGATGATTTGGACCTCCACCCTCTCTTCTGCCTCTACTGCTGTCGTTGTCGTCCTTGTCTCCGTGGCCTCGGGAATTCCACCGATACTCCCTGGATCCTGCAAGAGGCCAGATGCGTAGGGTTTGTGAATAAATTATGGAAGGGAAATGAGAGGTAAGATCATAAAGGTACCATTTGGAAGGTAATTAAGGATGGTGATGGTGGTTGAATTATATTAAGTGTTGATTTGAAGATCCTAGAATGAATGATGTTTGTTTTTTGAACCAGTCCTCTCGTTCACCACAGTCTTCAGTCTGTACTTGTACATATCAGATCCTAACGCCAAGCGTTTGGGAATTGTCCCTTTCCGTTTTTTTTCCCTCCAAACTAGCTGCTTCATCTTTCTTCTCCTTTTTTTCCTTCTTTTCCATATTATAATATATAGATTTTGGGAAAATTACACGAGATGCATGCTTAAAAATTAAGTTCTTTTTAGAATAAGTGCATAAATTATGTTGAGTAATTAAGGAACCAATTGGGATTTAAGTAAACTTCTCTAGTTTCATTCTCAAATGAAACAAAACAAACATATATGGTGAAAATTTTCTTCTACCTTTATTTATTGATTTATAATTTACTCCAATGTAAAACCTGGAGTCCACCTAGAGTTCGTGGTGAATATATGTAGTGATAAAATTAAGGGTGCGTTTGGGAGTGCCAATATCACTTTTGTTATTGTCAAATCACTTTAATCATGTTTGGTAAATTAAAAAATTGATTTTAGGAAAGTTTAAAATCACTCTAAATTGATTTTTACACCACTAGAATTTGGGGGTTTCGTGACGTTAATCAACAGTAAAAAAAACTAGTGAAATTTTAATAAAAACGTCACAAAAAGTAAAAAACACGTTTTTTGCGGGAAAAAACGGAGATTTCTGGATTTTTGTTATTTCGTGACGTTTTTTAACCATCTCGAAAAGTTTGGCAAAAAATTCTGTTGTTCTTATTATTGAGAGAGAAATGAGAAAGTGGGGAAGTGTAAGTTTCATTCAATGATACTACATATTTATACAAACTCTAAGTCTAAAAATAGACTCAACTAATTCCACATAAAAAGCAACTACTCCACTAACCATAAGAATAGCAACCTACCTAGTTGACTTGACTATACCAAAAATAACCCTAACAACTTTCTAGAAACTAGGACTTGGACTAGACAAATTCAAGAATTAAAAGAATCAAACTTGCAATTTGAGTTAACTTACATTCTCCTCCTAACTCAAATACTACAAACACCCAACTTGCTCCTAAGAGCTTGGAAACAACCCACATTAAAGAACTTAGTGAAGATATCTGCTATTTGCTCCTCTGAGCTACAATGCACCAACTGAACTTCTCCTTCCTTCTGCATCTCTCTAAGAACATAATACTTGATCTTAAAGTGCTTGGTCCTTCCATGAAAAACCAGATTCAATGAAATAGCTAAAGTGGCTTCATTATCCACAAACACCTTCACACTCTCTTATTTCTTTAGATGCAAGTCACGCATCAACTTCTTCAACCAAACATCTTGGTTGACTGCTACTGTTGTTGCAATGAACTTAGCTTCTGTAGTTGACTGAGCCACTATATCTTGTTTTTTTGAACACCATGAGAAATACCCTGAGCCAAAAGTGAAACAATAGCCAGAGGTACTCTTCATATCATCTAATGACCCAGCCCAATCACTATCTGAGTAGCCCTGCAACTCAAAATTTTCAACTTTATTGTATTTTATCCCAAAAGACAGTAGGCCTTTAAGATATCTCAAAACCCTCTTTCCAGCAACCATATGATTCTTGCTTGCACAGTGAAGAAATCTAGATAAGACACTTACAGTGTACATGATGTCAGGCCTAGTGGATGTGAGATACATGACACATCCAACTAGACTTCTGTACACATTCTGGTCTGCAGGTTCCTCCCCATCATCCTTCTGTAACTTTTCCTTCTGAATCATCGGAGTGTTCACACTCTTACACTTCTCCATATTGAACCTCTTCAATATCTCTCTCATGTACTTCTTCTGACAGAGAAACACTTCATTCTGTCCTTGCTGAATCTCCATGCCAAGGAAGTAATGCATCGACCTAGATCGGTCATCTCAAACACCTTCATCATTTCTTGCTTGAATACCTCTATCTGATTATTATCACTTCYTGTCACCAGTAAGTCATCTACATAAAGAGATACAATCATAATAGCAGTACCTGATTTCTTCACATAAAGTGTGGATTCACTCAGACTCTTCACAAAACCCAAGCTCAGCAAGTGATCATCCATCTTACTGTACCATGCCCGAGGAGCTTGCTTCAACCCATAGAGAGCCTTCTTCAGTAAATAAACCTTCTGCTCTTGTCCTGGTGTGATGAACTCGTTTGGTTGCTCAACGTAGATCTCTTCTTCTAACACTCCATTTAGGAATGCTGACTTCACATCTAGTTGATACACCTTCTATCCATGCTGAGCTGACATAGCCAGTAGCATCCTGATTGTGTCCATTCTTGCAACCGGTGCAAAAGTCTCAGAGAAATCAACTCCCCAGACTTGTACATACCCTTTTACTACTAACCTGGCCTTGAGCTTGTTCATAGAGCCATTTGGATTTAATTTAGTCTTGAAAACCCATTTGACTCCAATCACCTTTCTGTCAGTAGGCTTCTCCACTAGTTCCCATGTCTTGTTCTTCTCTATCATTCTCAGCTCCTCCTTCATTGCCTCCATCCACTTTTGATCTTTTTGAGCTTCTTCAAACCCTGTAGGCTCCAACACAGCTACGCTACTTCTTTCATACACCTCAGTCAGTAGTCTAGTCCCTCTCACTGGTGCATCATCAACTAGTTCATCAGGATCTAGAGAGACTTCTTGTTGCTTCACCTCTGCTTCTTCTGTCCAGTCTCACTTCTCATCCTCCAAAACTTGAACGTCTCTACTAATCACCATCTTCTTTGTGTGAGGTTGATAGATCTTGTAGGCTTTGGACACCATGCTATAGCCTACAAAGATTCCTGGTTCTGCCTTCTCACTCAACTTGTCTCTCTTCACCTGTGGAACATGGAAAAAACACAAGCAACCGAACACCTTCAAATTTGTCAGTTTTGGTTTAGTATCAAACCAAGCTTCATAGGGGGTCTTCTTCTCCAAGATCCTTGTAGGTAGTCTATTCAATAGTAAGACTGCTGTGTTTGCTGCTTCAGCCCAAAACTCCTTTGACAAAGTCTTCTCATGCAACAAGCATCTTGTCATCTCCATAATACACCTGTTCTTCCTTTCACTAACTCCATTTTGTCGTGGAGAATATGGAGCAGTGAGTTGATATTCTATCCCAGCTTCTTCACAGAAGGAATTAAACCTTTGTGACGTATATTCAGTCCCATTGTCGGTCCTCACCACTTGAGTCTTACAGCCACTTTGATTCTCAACCCATCTTTTAAACTTTAGAAACACTTCAGCTGCTTAAGATTTCTGCTTCATGAAACATATCCAACACATCCGAGTATAATCATCAATAAAGATAATGAAATACCTGCTACCATTCAGTGAAAGAGTTAGTTGAGGTCCACACAAATCAGTGTGGATGAGTTGTAGCTTATCGGTTGCTTTCCAAACTGACTTCTTGAATGACAATCTTGTTTGCTTCCCTGTCAGACAAGCTCTGCAGTTTGTTTTTAGCTCCTCCAGAACCGGTACTCCTATTTCCATCTCATTTTTCTGCAGATACTGTAATCCCTTCTGATGAAAATGCCCCAACCTCTTGTGCCATAACTCAGTGTCATTCACTTGACACTTGAAAGCTATTTGCTCCTTCTCGAATGGATCTAATGAAAAGCTCTTGTGCTGCATCTTTATTATGAATAACTCATTCCCACTGGAATCAGAAATGAGGCACTTCCCGTCTTCAAAAAACACTTTAAATCCCTTATCTACTAGTTGACCAACACTTAATAGGTTTTGATCAATAACAGGAACAAAAAACACTTCATTAATCAACTTGGCTCCAACACAGCTCTCTATTGACACTGTGTCCTTCCCTTTCACTTCTAGATACTCACCATTTCCTATCTTCACCCTTGACTTAAATGACTTGTCAAGGTCCTTGAACAACTCTTTGTCAGTTGTCATATGATTGGTACACCCACTATCAACCAACCAACCATCACATTGATTGGTTGATGAGAAACAGGTGGCCAGAAAAAGTTGATCTTCTTCTTGCTGTACTACAGCATATGCTCCTCCTTGTTGTTGGGTCTTGGCACCTTTACAAAATCGTTCAATGTGTCCCAATAAATTACACCTTCTACACTTCACATCTGGCCTTCTCCAGCATCTGAAGTGTGGATGGTTTTGCTTCTCGCAGTGCTTGCATGCACTACCAACATCCTTTGCAGCAGATTCTGAACTACTATTGCCACTCGTCTTCTTCCCTTTCCACTTCTTCTCTCTTCTACCTTCTCCCTACTGTATTCTAGCTTTCAGTGCCCCCTCCATGCTTCCTTCTTGCCTCATCAACCTCCTCTGCTCCTGTGCTTGCAAAGCACTAACAACTTCTATCACTTTGAGTTGGGAGAGGTCTTTAGTATTCTCTAAGGAAGCAATGGTTGTTTCATATCTCTCAGGTACTGAAACCAGAATCTTCTAAACCAATCTATTGTCAGATAGATCAGTTCCTAATGCTCTTGCCTTGTTAGCAATCCCGATCAAYTTGTCTGARTACTCTTTGATGGACTCAGAATCCTTCATCTGCATTCTCTCGAATTCCCTCACCAAGTTCAACACCTTCATGCCTTTAATCCTCTCATCACCTTCATACTCACTTTTGAGGAACTCCTAGATCTCCTTTGCTGACTTCAATGCCATAATTCTGTTGAATATGGCGGGAGACACAGCTGCATATAGGCAAGCTCGAGCCTTTGCCTTCCTGGTGACCCTCTCCTTGTGAGTCTTGATCTGATGCATCGTTGGATTATCAGGAAGTGGAGCAATTTCATAATCTTGCTCAATTGCTTCCCAATAATCACAACCCTCCATGTAGGCTTGTATTCTGATTGCTCATGCTTGATAGTTTTCACCATCAAACACAGGTGGAGCCAGTGAAGAAAGATTGTTAGATCCTAACTCCATTGGACAAAACTCTGATAGGTGTATCACTTAGTTTCTCTCGGGAATATTTCACTAATCATCACTCACAGATCCCTTAAGAATTTAAGGCTCTGATACCACTGTAGTTCTTATTATTGAGAGAGAAATGAGAAAGTGGGAAACTGTAAGTTTCATTCAATGATACTACATATTTATACAAACTCTAAGTCTAAAAATAGACTCAACTAATTCCAAATAAAAAGCAACTACTCCACTAGCCATAAGAATAGCAACCTACCTAGTTGACTTGACTATACCAAAAATAATCCTAACAACTTCCTAGAAACTAAGACTTGGACTAGACAAATTCAAAAACTAAAAGAATCAAACTTGCAATTTGAGTTAACTTACAAATTCGTTTTTTGTAACATTTAAAAAATGTCACGAAAAGGTGAGAGGCGTTTTTGGCGGGAAAAGACAGTGTTAAAAAATTTTGACTTTTTATGACCTTTTTCTAACCGTCACCAAAAAAGTTGAAAGAAAACACGTTTTTTGTGACATTTAATAAATGTCACAAAACGGAAAGGCTAGTTTTTGGCTGGAAAAGACGGAGTTCTTCAGATTTCTGGCTTTTCCATGATGTTTAACAAACGTCATTTTTCGTGAAGTTTGAGAATCATCACGAAAAGATGAGACCCGTTTTTTGCGGGAAAATCAAATTTTTTTGGCTTTTCGTGACATTTAAAAAACATCACGAAAATTTGGAAATCTAAACTTCTCGTGACGTTTAAGAAACGTCATGAAAATGTGAGGGTCATATTTTTACGATAAAACCAAATGTTTTTGCTATTCGTTATGTTTTTTAAATGTCACGATGAGTTGAAAAGCTACATTTTCCCCAATACTTTCGTTTTCTGTTTCCCTTAATTAGATTCCAATACTGTAGCATCCACAATTGTATCAGTCCATGGAAGAGTGCGAGAGTTTTGACATCTAGCCTGTTCGATTAGAAGATTTATGCAATAGGCACTAGAGGGCTAGATACGAAGCTTATGGGCACACGAGTCACATATTGATAGATTCCTTATAAATAGTGATATCTCCCTCGGATACAGGTACGTGACATGACTTTTGTTCAGCTAGACACCACCTCAGTTTAAATACTCACTTAAACATTAGATTCTGTTGGACCTTATAAATAGTGCATTGATTTTTCTTTTTTCCAAATTGAGTTACATCTTCCATCCCCTCTTTTACAAACTTTATTTAATATAATTAATTCCTAGCTTTCTATATAGACAAACCCTTTTGTACATAGTTCTATAACAGTACAAATTCATCATTTTTACTACGCGCATTATCATATATAAATACAAATCCTCTTTGATTTTGAAATGGTCATTGTTAGCGGTGACAAAAACAAGGTCGAGTTTTTTTAGTGCAATAACATATGAGGTATGTAGATTCAGGCTCACAATCTTTTGATCGAAGATATATATCTTAATCAATTAAATTTCATCCCCACCGCTTCTCTAGGATTCCAATAGACTATCTTCAACTATCTATGTGTTTGTCGAGCCTTTTTGAATGATGGGTTATCCAATTTTTTCCTCATATTTTATATGAATATGTTTACCATTAGAACTGTGATGAAATGAATTTTCATTTACCGTTAAAAAGGCGTGATATATGAAGGATGAATTTAGGACACGCTAGCTTATAAAGGGGAAGTCGTGTGCATTACACGTTAATTTATTGAAAGTCACAAAGTGTACAAGAAAACAAAAATATAGTAGCTATTAACTAGTTTTATTTTTCATTCGTATAGTTCAACGGGTCAAATATATTATTTATTTCTAAAAAGCAAAAATTCGAGTCTCCATCCTCATTGAGTTAATAGTTGCTATTTTAGACTTACGTGAACAATGTAAAATAAAAAGAAATGCTACCTTTTAAATATAAATAGATATGAATTGCCAAAACTATCACTTAAATTAATAATTAAAACAAATCATAACTAAATAATTAGCAAATGTAGGAAAGCTATGAGTAGGATTCATGCCCAATAATACTGGAACAAACCAATATATACTTTAGGAGAGCTCAGGCTCAAGTTACTACAACATCTTATTTTTTGTTGACTCCTCGTTGATCAAATGAAATCAATGAAGATGAACAATGATTTAAAAAACTAATAGCAAAATACAATTGTTATCGTGTATTCTTAATCAAATTTCCAGCCATATATGGTCCACTTCGATTGAAGTAAAGAAAAGAGCATTAGCAAATACGAATAGGAGCACCATTCCATTCTTTCAAGCAGTCGAGGATGGAATCGATCATCTTTCCTTCACACAAAGCTGTGAATACCTTCTCGCACTCTTCTCCTGGAGATATCACTTTTTCTCCGGTTAGCAAACTTGTTCCCAACTCTTCCCTCACAAATCTATATAATGGATAAGATCTGCAATCCTTAATTTGATTTTCAATTTTAGAATTTCCACTCTCGTATGCCAACCTTGCATTTTCAACTTCCTTGGGTAGAACTGTCTTTAACTCCTCTTCGAAAGCACCAATCTTTTGAAAGATGGAAGTGTTTGTGCTATTTTCACCATCACCATTGTTGAGTGCACGTTCGACAAGAACTTGTCTAAGTTTTTGCATCAATGGGTAAGTAGCACTGCATGGATCGTCGATGTATGCAAATGTGTATTCTCTATCAACGACTTTGAGTAGATCTTTCTCACAAAATCTTGATGGGTGAAGTGCGCCATTAGAGGATGTGGTCAACACTTTCTTGGCTACCTGGCTTACAGTGCTTTTCACAGTGCTCTTCATATTTTCCTCCAAATGCCTCAAGTCAATTGCTTGGCAGAGTGCAACCAAAAATGTAGAAGACATGAGTTTCAAAATGTCAATAGCTTCAGCTGTTTTCCTCGAAGAGATTAGACCAAGAGAGTTAACATCTTGGTTGTGTTGCTCGGCACTTTGGACATGACTTGTCACCGGATTTGCAAGATATTGAAGCTCAGAGCAGTATGAAGCCATGGCAATTTCAGCACCTTTGAACCCATAATCCAAGCTCGGGTTTCTGCTTGCAGAAAGATTAGAAGGCAAACCATTATTGTAGAAATCATTGACAAGTTCTGAAAATTGGGCAAACATGAGTTTTCCAATTGATGCAACGGCCAAACGAGTGTTGTCCATGGAAACTCCAATTGGTGTTCCTTGGAAGTTGCCTCCATGCAGTGCCTTGTTTCTCGAAACATCAATCAATGGGTTATCATTTACTGAATTTATCTCTCGCTCGATAGACTTTGTGGAGAAACGAATAACTTCAATCAAGGGACCGAGCCATTGGGGTGAAGTTCTAAGAGCGTAACGATCTTGTTTAGGCTTTTGGAGGGGATCAATCTCATGCAGTTTCTTTGCTGCTTTCATATAAGAGCTTCCATCCAAAATGTGTTCCATGATTGCAGCCGCTTCGATTTGCCCAGGATGGTGCTTCAATTTATGGGTCAAATGATCAGTAAATTCTGGCTTTCCCTGCATGACTTCGGCAAAAATGGCCGATAGAATTTCCGACAAAACAGCCAAAATATTTGCTTCAAAGAGAACGATGGAAGCCAACCCAGAACCAACGGCAGTACCATTGACAAGAGCGAGACCTTCTTTAGGCTGCAACTCAAAGAAACCGGATGGAATGCATGCTTGTTTAAAAGCAGCTTCAGGATCAAGGATTTCACCGTTGGGTCCGGTGGCTTTCGAATTATGACGACCCGTTAGTAGGCCAGCAATATATGACAAAGGGACAAGATCCCCAGATGCCGTAATTGTCCCTCGCAATGGCAAACATGGAGTGACGTTGTGGTTGAGAAGATTAGCGATAGCCTCCAAAATCTCAAATCTGATACCTGAATATCCTTGAAGGAGAGTGTTGATTCTCACCAACATGGCTGCTCTCGTGGCCGAGTGAGGCAAAGTGTGACTCGACTCAGCTCCATTCCCAAAGATCCCAGCATTCAAAAATCGGATGAGCTCCTTTTGAAGGGCTCCACCTTGCTTGGTTCTTCTATGGGAGGTGGCACCAAATCCAGTGGTAACACCATAACTATCGGTACCTTTACTCATGCTTTCCATGACCCAATCACTGCTGGC